CTGTAGCAGCTGATACGGGGACTCCGGGAGATGCTGGGTGGTGGGACTGGGGCTTGGCTGGGGGCTGGCTGGGACCGTTTGTGTCTGTGACCACCCAGCGGGTTTGGGGGGCCGTGTGCTGTGCTGCCCCTGGGCCTGTTCCCCACGCACATGCCATCCACAGGACAAACCACATCCATATGTGTAGCAGTGCCTGGCTGCGCGGCTCCCAGTAATGTAATTTAAATGTAAATACAGTTTCCTTTGAAGCAGGTGTAGCAGGCGGTGCAGGGAGTTCACCTGGATCTAATTCCAGCAGCCACCAGAACAGCTGTTTCCAGATGACTGAACTAATCTCATCAAATCCCCAGAATAGACTGGCTTGCCGCAAAAGTTTCCTCCTGTCACCCTCCTGCCTTGCCTTACGTTCCCCATAGGGCTGTGCCGGTCGCGCGGTGCTTGTCTCTGCGGTGGTGGTGGGTGACATGCACCCCGGCTGCTAGGTGAGAAATGACCCCCCGGAACCCCAGCGAAGGCTCAGACTGCTCCTGCTTCGCCCCGGTGAGCGGTGTGGCTGCGCAGCTGGGCTCCATCAGCGGGCAAGGTCACCCCAGCTCCCACCACGAGGTCTCTCCTGAGACCAGGGCTCGGTGGCATCGCACACACGGATGTTTAGGGAACGTAGGTGGATTTGTTGCACTTTCCCTGCTTTGCCAGCGCTTGGTGCTTGCTCCCTTGCCGGCAGGGCGTTCCCTGCTCCTGAGCCGAGTCCTGGCTGTGCTGCACAGTGAGGAGGGACTCACCTCCATCTTTGTGGGCAAGTTCTCCTTCCTTGGACTCATGCAGGCAGCTGTGGCCAGTCGGCGACCGGGGTGTCTCTGCAGGAAGGCTGCAGTGTGCCTGCATGGCATCCCTGCATGCAGGTGCTGCTGGCCCTGCTGTGTGCCGGCGATCAGCAGGGAAGCCTCAGGTCTGTGGCTTCGCTTTGATGCTAGAAGGACTGGGATTTATTGGGATTTTATTCATTTGCTTCTCAAAACATAATTCCCTGCAAACCTGCCTGCATCCTGGGATGTGGGGCAGGGCTGGCCATGGGGCACAGTGCTTCCTGCAGCCATCCCTGCCGCATGCTGCAGCCCTTCCTGAGGAGCTCGCCCAGCCCCGCTGCCGGGGCTGCCCAGGGGCCGGCAGGGCAAACCAGGGGCCCTTGGTCACAGGCAACAGCTGGCCCTGGGCGGTCCCCTTTGGCCTCTGAAATCCCCCCTTCCCTGGCTGCTCTGTGCGGCTGGGAGAGGTGGCCCGGGCCTGCCATGGGGGCTTCATCCCTGCCACAGAGTAAGGGAATGCCGGAGCCGGTGGAATGAGCCAGGAGGAAGCTCTGGTAGTGGGTGACCTGCCAGGGCTGGAAGGGGACTGTGTTGCCCCATGCCTTCCCGCAGCTGCCGGGGCTGCTCCTGCACACCCGGGACAGGCAGTGGTGCTCAGCACCCCGTGGTGCCCTCGCTGCATGGCAGTCTCCAGGGAACGGTTGGCACCTGAAGTCACCCACAAGGCTCTGTTGGTGACCCCACGGCATGGCAGGGCCTTCGCTCCTCCTGACCCTGCCAGACGATGCATCCTCTTGCTCTTAGCCCCAGAAGTAGCCGCCCTTTCCTGCAGTTTCCAGTCTTGGGTGCACCCCCAGGACAGCTTCCCGGCTGAGCAGTCACATCTGGGCGACACTGGTGGGAACTGGGCCTTTAATAACAGGAAGCGTTGGGCACTCTCATGGCCAAACGTTCGCCCCCTTTCAGCCCTGGCAATGCCAGGCTTCCCACCACGCTAGAGTGACTTGACCGACCCCAGGCTCTGCCTGTCCCCAGCACATCAAGGTGCTTCCAAGGATGGTTGGGTTGGTTTGTATTTACCTCGACATGGTGGCATGCAGGGTGACTGTACCCTTGCGACGGTGGTTGGTGCTGAGCGCAGCCACCTTTTCCACACGCTGACTCCGCTGCGGCGCTGCGGGCGCTGGACCAGGGCTGCTGCATCCCCGGGTGACTTCGGCTATGGGGCCAAAGAGAGATCGGGTTCCCCAGCGAGTTTCCTGTAGCTTTGTCCCAAGAGCAAAGCTTCCTCTTCACGAGTCAATACTCAAAGCACTTTAAAGTCTATTGCAGACTCAGATTTTACGTTAGAAGTATCGTCAAGAAAATGTCACTCAATTTAGGGACCCATCGCTAGAGGCAGTCTAGACACATCGGCCTCCAGAAAGAAGCTGCTTGCCATTTTTGAAATGCACTTTCATCCACATATTGCCTTAAATTACCTTAAAAATTACAGATGTATGCTACAGCAAATATGATATATATTTTGCATCTGTGTCCTCCCTGGTATCATGGCAGGTGTCAGAGCGGTCCCATCCCTGGAGGGGGATGCGAGGGACCGGGAGAGGAAGGGCTGGCTGCAGAAGCCAAGGTTAAGCAGGGCAGGAGGAGAGGTCTGGAGAGCCGGGGAGGAGGGGACCGCAGCAAGTGGAGGGTGAGGGTCCCCCAGGGCAGCTGGGGCTCTGGGGTATGGACCTACTGGAGGAACACGGGTGGGCGCAAGGGCCCCTTGGGGCCTCAGCACACCCCGCGGTGCTGGCCACGGGTCCTCGGCAGTGCCTGACCTGCCCCTCTCCCCCAGAGTCACTACGTGGCCTGCATGGCCGCCATCCTGAGCCAGTTGGACAAGGACCACTACAGCTCCTACATCAAGGCGTTCCCCTCCCGGCCGGAGCTGATGGTGAGTGTTGCCCCACACAGTGAGACCTGGGCCCTCCATCACCGGCACCTCTCTGCCTCTCCACCCCATGTCTTGGCTGGGGCATTCCACTGGTCCCAGTGCCCTGCTTGCACCTGGGCACCCAGCACTGGTGCCACCTGCCCTGGACCCCAACACAGCCCACATCCCTGCTCTTTGGAGGTGAAGCTCCCGCTGTTGAGTGGCTCCCGGCCCTGGTGCTCAGCACAGTGTACCCCAGGAGGGCATCGTGGTTAAGCCCAGCTCCTAAAATCTCTTCCTCCCTGGCAGGACTTCCTCATGGAGACCTTCATCCTCTTCAAGGACTTGATTGGCAAGACGGTGTACCCCTCCGACTGGATGGTGATGAACATGGTGCAGAACCGGTGAGGACCCCTGGGCTGGGAGGGACCTGTGGGGGGACGTTGGGGCTGGATGTGAGGACCTGGGGTGCCTTGCTGGGACCTAGGCAGAGGGCACACAGGCACTGCAGCATGGCTGTGCTGGGCAGCCTACGGCTTAGCTTAACTACCTCCAAATCCCCCTCAAACAGCCCTGGGTCCGTGCTCAGGCTGGCTCAGGGCAGCTTTAGACTCTCCCAGCTCTGTCCTGGGACAGTCCAGCCCCATCTGGGAGCTGGGTGGCAGAGCTTCTCTCTGCAGCCCCATCGGTGTGCTTGGGGGACTCCTGGGGTGCAGCGGGAAGCTGATGCTGGATGCCCCATCCCTCCCACCCTGGGTGTCTGTACACGGCGGGGATGCTGGTTGTGCAGGACCGGTGCACTCGGGCAGCATTCGGCTGCACCTCAGTGGGCAGAAAGGACCAGCTGGAGCGTGGATGCGGGCAGGAGGACGCTGCGAGCCCCAGCCCCAGGGCACCGCGAGGCCTGGCCCCCGCCTGCCCCCCACCACCGCTCCTCATCTCACCATCGCTGGGAGCCGCCAGCCCAGCTCTCCCCTCGCCCCCGTCCGGCCCTGCCTGCGGGCAGAGGGCAGGCAGCGCGGCCGCCCGCCGCTCAGCGCCCCACGGCCGCTCACCCCCCAGGGAGTTCCTGCGTGCCATCAACCAGTTCGCCGCAACCTTGACAGAGATGTTCCTGAGCAACAGCAGCTTCGAGCTGCAGGTGAGGGGCTGCCTGTGCCCTACGGGGGCCGGGGGGCTGGGGAGGGGACCCAGCCTGGCCCTTGGTGCTGTGAGCTGCCCACCCCAAGCCCCTCGTGCCACCCAGCCTGCCATTCGTCCCCGTGTTTTCACTGCAGCTTTGGAACAACTATTTCCACCTGGCCGTGGCTTTCCTCACCCAGGACTCCCTGCAGCTGGAGAACTTCTCCCAGGCCAAGCGCAACAGCATCCTGGCCAAGTGAGTCACCATCGCCTTTGCTGGCCCTCCCTGGCCCGGCTGCCTACCGGCATCACCTCGGGGCTGAGCTCTGCAGCTCAGCTTCAGGTTCCTGCCCCAGCCTGCTGCCACACAGCGGGGTCAGGGATTTTGGGGTGAGCTGGTCAGGCTGTGCTTGGGTCCCTGGCCTGCGCCCCAGGCTGCGGAGCGATGCTAACCAATATCCATCCTGGCAGGTATGGGGACATGAGAGCCACGATCGGAGCTTCCATTCGGGACATGTGGTACAACCTAGGTGAGCCGCAATGTGGCTAGTGATGAGGAGGTTTGACGAGTCTGCAGGCTGACATTCATCAGCACCGTCCCCAAAATGAGGGCTGGGGAGCGGGATGTTGCTGGTGTGGGGCATGGGAGCCTGCAGGTGTGAGCAGGGCATATGAGCCTGCAGGCGTGCCAATCTGTACAATCTGTGGGATGCTATGGGATGTGCGGTCTGTGGGATATGTGAGCCTGTGGGATGCGCACATCTGCAGGCGTGCAAGGCCATGGGTGTGCGAGCCGACAGGCCCTGTGACCAGTGGCGAGCTCGCACTCCCTGCAGGCAGCCTCCCCTCTCCAGGCTGGGTTCTGCCTGCAGCCCTGCCTTCCCATTCCCCTATCCTGTGGGCTCCCGCCTTGCCTTGGTTCCCCTGCACGGTGAGGGTCGTGCTGCTGGCAGCATCCCAGGGCCAGGCAGGCAAGGAGGACGCAGCATCTCCTGTCTCTGCCCCGCACCCCAGCAGAGAGCAGGGACCTGCGAGGAGTGTGCGGGGCAGCCCGCAGCGCAGCAGTGGAGCAGTGATGAGTGCCCGCAGGCTCCTGCGGGGGTTGTTCACATGCGCCAGGGCCTCCAGAACACCAGCACAGCCCCAGCTGATGGTCCCATAGCTGAGTGTTTGCCGTGCTGTCCTGCACATACAGCATTACCTGCCCACCGGCATGGCTGCCCCAGAGGATTGCCTGGCTCTGCCGCAGCCGCCTACCCCGGGGTGGGCAGACACTTCGCTGGCAGCACTCCCCCTCCTCTTCCATGCGTTGCTGCCCATTTGCAGCCACGGGAGCCCCAGGTCAGGGCTGGCCCCGGGGAGCAGGCTGCAGGAGCCCAGCACCCCCCCAGACTTCCCTGCCCTCCCCAGGCCATCGTAAGATTGAGTTCATCCCGGGCATGGTGGGCCCCATCCTGGAGATGACCCTCGTGCCAGAGCTGGAGCTGCGCAAGTCCACCATCCCCATCTTCTTTGACATGATGCTCTGCGAGTACCAGCTGACCGAGAGCTTCAGTCGGGTGAGTGTGGCCGGGTCCTGCTCCTCACCCGGGCTGGACCATCCCTTTTGGGGTGGGTGGAGGTGGTGCTCAGCCTCCCCTCTCATCCTGGGATGTGGGGCTGCAGGAGGGATGGACAGGGATGAGGGAGCTGGTAGGGACATGAGGAGCAGGGAGAGCCGCCAGGTGATGCAGAGGATTTCCCAGGGATGAGCAGGGACAGGTTCAGGCATCACCCACTCAGCCGGTCCCAGCACTGCCTGGAAACAAGAACACAGTGGAAGGGGGGAGGTCTGCATAAACCTCTGCATTTCCACTTGTCTTCCCTCATTGCTGTGAGATTTCCCCGTGCAAAAGGGGAATCATCAGTTTATGGATTGGGTGGCATTTGTCTCTTCTGAGCTGGAAGCCTTTCACCCTATTGGGGTGTCCTATGGGAGGAGAGGGGCGGGGCCTGCCCTTGGAGCCACAGCAGACACAGGGCCTGCTGGAGCTCCTTCCCCGTCCCCTCGCTTGCACCCGGGTCTGCAGCCACAGGAGAGCTGCGTTGGAGGATCAGTGTGGGCATGGCTGGGCTCAGGGACCTGAGGCTTTCGTAGGAGATGTCCCTGAGCCATCCTACTGTGGCACAGGGGCTCTGTGGCTCAGGAGCCAACCTAGCTCAGGGGGATAAGGTCCCCTCAGTTTGGGACATGCAGACCCCAGAGGGACCGAGCGTGGAGGCAAGGGGTACTAAGGGGTACCAGCAATCAGATATCTGCTCTAGACGCCCCCATCCCATACCGGGCACATGCAAGGACCACCCAGGCTTTTGGGTCCACCGGCTGCATCCAGAGCATAAACCCCGTGGACCTGAAGGCTGAGCATCATCTGGGAGGCGGGTGACCCCAGGCAGGCACAACCCTGCCAGTCCAGGCAGGGAAGGCTGTGGCTTCAGGGGGCACAGGGCACTGCCCAGAGACCCCTGGGGTCAGCTCAACCTGGAATGTTGGGGGACGGCGACAAGGCCAGTGCAGGAGTGGGATGGGGACCTGGAGAGCAAGTCAGCGACCTGCCTGTGCTGGGGAGCCGGTTGGGGACCCAGAGGGCAGGATGGGACCCTGTCTGCGGTGGGGCAGCGCAGGGACTCTGCACCAGGGAGCAGCATGGCCTGGGAGGGGCGACAAGGACCCGTCTGTGCTGGGCAGTCCTGGTGGAAGGGGCTGCAGCAGCTGAGCCTGGGGGCTGTTTAAGGGACTGAGCTGGCTCCAGCTCCCACAGCCCCTTCTGTCCCAGCTCTGTGGCCCCGCGTCCCAGGGAGCTGCAGCCGCGGCAGCCTGGGGCCAAGCTCCGCATCCTCGGCTCCTCAGCCATGCTCATAGGTGTCTCTGCAGTTTGAGGACGAGATCCTGCGCAAGCTGGACAGCGAGGTGGAGGGCGGCCGTGGAGATGAGCAGTACAAGCAGCTTTTTGAGAGCATGTGAGTGTGCAGTGACATCCCCGCATGCAACCTTCTCTCCGGGGCATGACCCTGTGCTGGCTGCTGTACTCCCAGCCCAGCTCAGTCTTGGCCATCCAGCTCCTCCTCACGCTGTGTGTTGACCCAGAGCACACCTCTTGGGGGAACAACCCGAGAAGAGGAAGATTGCTGCCTGAGCAGCATCATGTCCCCCTTGCGCACCGCAGCTGCCCAGCCAGCCTGCCCCTGCCTGCCCCCAAATTGCCCCTGCCCCAGGAATTACCCTTGCTCCAGTCAGTGCCCCTGCCCTCTGCAATGGCCCTGTCCCCAGGCAATGTCCCTGCCCTGCCCCAGGTGATGTCCCTGCCCTCTGCAACGCCCCTGTCCTGGGTGATGCCCCTTGCCCTGCCCAGGCTTTGCTCTTGCCCCGTGGTATCCATCGCAGATTCGTGTGCGGGGTGTCTGGAGCTGTCAGGTCTCTCCCCCATCCCTGATGTGCCTGTTGGGTGACAGCACAGGGCTTGCTCTGTCTCACTGTAGACCAGGTGTTGCTTTTTGTCCTTTGTTTGGGGAGCCTGCCCCTTCTTCAACCCCCTGCACCTTGGAGGAGCTGAGCTGGGGCAGCGGTGGGAGTGTTGTGGAGCTGAGCAACCAGCGAGACCTGTGATCTCCTCTCCTCCCCAGCCTGCTCAGCTGCTGCCGGAGACACCCCGAGCTGGCCAAACCTGGGGAGAACTTCGTTGCGCTGGTGACTGGGCTCCTGGAGCGGCTCCTCGACTACCGGGCTGTTATGAATGATGAGAACAAAACCTACAGCATGAGCTGCACCGTCAACCTCCTGGTGGGCACCTGCCCTGTGCCCCCAGCTCCCCCAGGGCTCAGCCCCATGTCCCCTCAGGTCCCCCCAGGGCCTGCACTGCCCCTGGCACAGCAGAGATGGGGTGCACATGGTTCCAGACCTGGTGTCCCCCAGAGGTTCTTGCTGGGAGGCACCCTGCAGCTCCCTGCTGCCAAGGGCAGCACAGTGCCTGCATGGGGACGGTCCCGGCAGCACCGTGACCCAGAGCAAGGTGTGGGACCATAGGGGGCTGCAGCATGTACCCCTTCCTGAGGCCACTCAAAGCGTCCTCATCTGCTCTTCCCCAGAACTTCTACAAGGAGATTGATCGCCAGGCCATGTACATCAGGTGAGCGCAGCCCCGGCGAGACCAGCATTGCATGGGGTGAGGGGTCCCAGGGCCCTGAGCTGCCCCAGCCCGCTGCCACCCTGTCCCCAGGCACATGGCATGGGGACGGCGGAGCGGCCGTAGGGGCAGGGTGCCGGGTGCTCTGCCGCCCAGCCAGCTGCCAGCTGGGGACGCTGCTCCGTGGGGGAGC